ACAGCATCCCCCATACTGCCCTCCGTACTCGGTCAAGAGGTGTCTCCTCCCCCCCCTCCCCGCTTCCGTGTTCCCCTCCTCCAAGCACACCAGGCTCCGCAGAACAACATCATCCTCGCTGAATCGTATTACAACGACCTCGACTCGGCGAAGAAAATGTTGAACAGCAGTGGGGATAGCACACATCCTTGTCGCACGCCCTGTGTCACGAAGGACCAGTCCATAGTTCTCCGTCGTCCATGCGCGCCCGGGCCCGTATTCCATCGTGGAATTGGCGGATGACTTCGATCAGCTTCGCGGGAATCCCGGTCCTGGCCAGCACCTTCCATAGCATCTCTCGGTCCACCGAATCATACGCCTTGTTCAAGTCGACGAAGCACAACATGTAGACCGGTATTTTCTTTCTCCGCCCCAGCTCCTGGAGGCGGCGCACGACGAACAGCATGTCGACGGTGGATCGCCCGGGTCGAAATCCGCACTGTTCCTCCGGGATTATGTTGTTGGCTTCGCAGAAGGCGCTTAGACGGTTGGTGATGATCTTGATGTGGACCTTGCGTACGTGAGATAGCAGCGAAATCCCCCTATAGTTGTTACAGTTGGACCGGTCACCCTTCTTGTATAGCACCTTGATGGTTGCATCCTTCCACTCTCTCGCGGAATATCTCCTCCGTTCCACACCTTGACGAGGTTGGTATGGAGGTGTCCCAGGACGAAGAGTTCGTCGTCATCGATCTTGAGCAATTCGGCAGGGAGGGAGTCATGGCCGGGTGCCTTCCAGTTCTTGAGGCCTTTCGTAGCGCGTACCACCTCCTCGAGTTTTGGCACGTCTCCCAACCGTTGAGTGTCACGTGTCGCTGGCCGCTGCGTCACCCGTTCGATGATGCCATAGCGTGAGCGAACAGCTACCTGTTTATCTACGGTTTCCCAGACAGCATACAACGAAAGCTCCCCTGTGGGTAACAGGCTCAACAAGGCAGTTTGGTAGCCATCTTGTGTATCTATCTGTAGTCTATGTTATGTTTGGAAGTTGTAGTCGGAAGATTTAGGGGAACCCGGTTTGTCGGGTGTTCTACTATGGCACCCTTACGTGGTTGCCGCGCAAGCTCTTCTCGGAGTGTGTATATTTTCGTCATCAACTTATTTTTTGTGTGTGATGCATGGGGGCATGTGCGGCGCCGGAGAAAATATTTACCGTGTTGTGTAACCGGTCGCCCCGGTGGTCTAGTTGGCATCCTCGAAGCCTTCTAGAGATCAGGTCAGGGATTCGAGTCCCGGCGTAAGCGAGCTTTTCTTGCGAAGTGAGTTTTGATCTCGCTTCCGCTCCTGGCCTAGTGGATAGCGCTAGTTCGTGTGTACACAGAGGGAAGAGAGTGCTGAACTCTTCCCGCGTTAAAAATCGAAGGCAATGTACCGCAGGAGGGGAGGGTAGGGAGGGGCTCTTCTGTGTGACCACGGGTTGGAGTAAACGGCACCAGTCAGTGCTGTGAGCGCTGATTTGAAGTGAAGACAAAAAAATAGAAAATGACGTCGTGAAATGTGAGGAGGGCACGGGAGAACATTATCTCATCATTGCCTCCTGACGTGGCCGCCGATAGAGGCGTGTGGTTGGGGTTTTGTCACCGACATGTGGGGTGTGTGTTAAACGTAGTGGGTATGGTCACCTCTCTCACCCGTGTGTCGGCAGAAGGTATGGCTACCTTTCCCATTCATTTGTAGGCAGCGCGGACCATAGGTACAGGCAGAGTGTATCATTTCATGGATCTACATCATTTGTATGTAGCAAGAGAGGAATGAGAGGTTGTTCTAGCCTAGTTTTGACGGTGTGTGTATGGGTAGGGGGAGTATTCCCTGTGTCCGTGTTGTTCCCAGATGTTGTCGCATCAAGTGGCAGCATGTGTCATGGACAGGTAGACGTGGAAGGGCGGCGACAGGTGAACTGCAGCAGTAGTCTAATCAGTATGTTGTGCATGGTTGCATGTCGGGCTTGTACAAAGACGCAGTCCATTTCGACCACACACGAAGGAGTTTGTTCGTACCTGTGGGAGTTTTGGAGGGCCCAAGTCAGTCTTAAGCAGCAGTTGGAAGGAGCGAACAGGCGCTTGTTTTGTTTTATTTTGATCGGTGCGGTAGCTGTTCCTTTGTTCCTATTATTGTGTTTTTTCTTTCCGAGTGTTTTACCCTTTTTTTCTTTAGTTTCCCGCGGCGTCTTATGTGCCGGGTTTTCGCGACCATGCGCTCCCCATTTTTGTGAAATACTGTGTAGAGCTGACGTGGGAACACAACAATAGATACTGCTGTGAGGTCTACAACAGCAGTAAATACATGCATTGCGCAAAGCAGAGATCCTGAGCAGCCTGCGTATTGTAGCCACAGCGGTACGCAGGACACATCGGTGTATTTGCGGTTCGTGCCACCGGTTGGCGCCAGCCTACACAAGGTATGTATGCATTCCTTTCTGACACATCAGACGGGGTCGCACGGAAGGGTTGTTACACAAGTTAGACGGTATTCGTGTTGTTGTCAACGTCCTTTTACGGCCGTTTGAAACGGACCGACTTTTTTGTCAAAATTTTCGACATTTGTGTTTCAAAAACTTGGAACCTGTGTGCAGTCATTTTAAACGTGTGACGTGGACTTGTGCAACTTGTGTCAAAAAAAATGACGCCGTCCGTGAGTTGTAGCGCTCACTTCGAGACAACACACACGACACAACACAAACCGCGGAAAACACGACATCATGGACACCGACATGGATATCACGACCACCCAGCGTGGCCGGCAGACCAAAACCCCGGCGAAATTCCAGCAGACGGGCTCTCTCGGTGCCGCCGTAGGCGGTGGAGGTTTGCTCTCCAGCAAGATAGTGCTGCTGCCTGGCATCTCGGGGAACACTCATGTTACCACGGGAGGCGCTGCCGCCACCAACACTC